TATACCTTGGGCAGAAGGCAAGATACAATGAGAGATCAGAGGATGTTGACAAGATTTCACATCAGTTTCTCCACATGGGAATTTCTAGGTGTGATAGAAAAATCAAAGGTAATACAACATTACAAAGCATCATCTTCCGTCTTCCGGTAGGTGGAAGACTGTCTCCAGATTGTGATTAAAGCTCAGAGACATCTGTCAAGCATGGAAGTATTGACCACAGCCTCCCTATGCAGAAATGAATAGAAAAAGAAAAGACGTTGCAAAGTAAGAGGAAGCATGAGACCCACTAAAGGACAGAAGATTTAAAACATGAAGAAAAAGAAACACTGGAGAAGAGAACACTGCCTGTATTGGTGGTTGGGAAAAAAATCAGTTCTGAATTATCTAGAAACAACTCAGGGAATTCAGAGGAGTCTTTCAAACACCATGAGAAGTTCAAAAGAAGATGAAGAAAGGGCACAACGAGGAAGGTATCCATAAGGACAGGCAAATTTGATGGTGCAGAGAGCAAAAGACAGTTCAGTGTTGACACATGACCAAATCAATCATAGGGTAGGACAGAGACAGAGCTTCCAGGCCCCAATTCTGAAAGCTATGGGTGGCACAGCCCCAAACCTGTTCCAATTGGCTCCTAGTTGAGTCCTGTCACAGTATAAAGAAAAGCTGTAAGTCATGTTGCTCTCAGTGAGAATCTCCACTCCTGCTACCTCCTCTTGGAAGAATTCCTAGAAAGCAGTGAGTTAAAGAAAAGCTGAAATACCAATAGCCAACAAATACCTGATCGAAAAAAAAAAAGTTCAACAGTCTTAGCCATTGGGGAGTGCAAATTGAAAGTGCAAAGTGCTTTAAGGCTCCAGCTCAGACCAGGTAAGGGACATGGGGATAGAGTAGTCATCATACGTTTGTGATGAGATGCAAACTGGTGTATAGCTCCCATATAAATCAGTATGGAGGGTCTTCAAAAAACTAAAAAATGCATCTTCTACATGATCCAGGTGAACAGAAGAAGTCTAAGTCATCAAACCACAGACATATTTACATATCTATAGCTAATGCTGTATTAGTCATAATAGCTAAAAGATGAAATCAGGCTAGGTGTTCATCAATAGATAAGTTCATAAAGAAAATGTGTAACACACACATATACACACTGGACTTTTATTCAGCTATAAAGAAGAATAAGATCGTTATTTGCAGGAAAGTGGTTGGGACTGGAGATGGTCATACTTGACAAAATAATCCAGACCCAGGAAGACAAACAAGAAAAGCAAACATTTCATATTTTCTCTGAAATGGATGCTGAAAGGGAGAGAAGGAATCTAGAGAGAGGGGAAAAAGGACAAAGAGAAAGTGCTAATGGGAGAAAAGAGATAAAACATTGCATACTTTTCCTCCTGATATATACCACAGGAAAATGTACTGCAAATGTTTGGGAGAAGAGGAGGGTCCAGCATGAGGTGGGGAGAAGGAAGAGAAAGAATATTAGGGGTGAATGAGAGCAGATTACAATGTTATATATGAGTGAAAATGTCAAAATGAAACCTGTTATTTTTGTATGCTAATTAGAAATGAACACAAAGTAAATTTTTTTCAAAGAAAAGCTGATAAGAAGGAAGGCAAGTACAGTGGTTTTAAGCCCATGCCATTAAGCTCCCTCCCCACCTTGGCTTGGTTCAGCTACTGCTCCAGCACCATTCTTATCTGCCTGCTGCCTGATCCCCACCATGAACTCACCTCTGAAACTGTAATCAGGCCCCCAATTAAATACTATTTTTTTTTATAAGTTGCCTTGGTCATAGTGTGTCCTCGCAGCAATAGAAAAGTTCCTAAGGCAGGAAGAGAACTAGATAAAGAGCTTCCACATCTGCTTGCCCCCTGCTCGGCAACTTATAGATGCTACAGATTGGTTGACCTCCTGACTAGAATGTAGTCCAGCAAATGAATTCAGTGTTTGCACATATATTTTCCTTCCTGTCTTTTTATGGGATATGGTGATTTGAATTGGAATGGCTCCCAAGGCTCACATATTTGAATACTTACTTTTCAGTTGGTTGAACTGTTTGGGAAGGATGAGGAGGTGTGGACCTGGTGGGACAAAATGTGTCACTGAGGGTGGGCTTTGAGGTTTGTCTCAGCCTGTGAGCTCTCACTTGTCCCTGAGCTCCAGCAGCATGGACTCTAACCCTCTGAAACCAGAAGCCAAATTAAATGTTTTCTCTTCTAAGTTGCCTTGCTCATTGTGTTTTATCACAGCAATAGAAAAGTAAGACATCGAAAAATAAAAATAAAAAAAGAAAACAAAAAAAGAAAGAAAAGAAAATGTCTTTGCAAAAGTCTTTGCTCTGTGGTGCTCTGGCAAGACAAAATGAGTTGTTTGTTTTCCAGCCGTCAATTGTAGCTGTTGATTTCTGAAAGCCCCATCTAGGACTGATTACAAACCAGTAACATGACATCCCCGAAACAGGCCTGGAATGGAATTGAGGACCAGAATTCCACCTTGCAGTTCCAGCTGGCTCCTAGTTCCAGTGAGTCCTGTCACAGGACTCCAGACCAGCGAAGGCATTTATTTTGTAAGAGCCCTTTGGGAGATTTTCTGTGCTGGTGGGTGTGAGAGCCACTGGCCGCCAAACTTTAATTTGCATCATCATCAGGGTGCCTTGTTAAAATGCAAGTGCTGATTTGGGAGGTGCTGCTGGTCCTTCTCTAGTGGACCCAAAGACAATGCAGTTGCTCACCTACCACTGTCCAGAATGTTTGGGGAAGTGGCTTGTCAGAAAACCCACTAACTAGAACTGTGAATTACTTATGCTCCAAACCATAAAGATGTATGTGTGTGTTTAAAAAAAAATTGTGTTTTGCTTTTTAGTTTGAGCTACATGTCAAAGTCATAAAATCCACATTCTCGGCTTCTCTGGAGGAACAGCAGGAACAGTTACAGCAGAAGAGGATGTGACAATACCAGACAGCCATCCTGCCCTTCTGGGAAGCAGCTACTATCTGCCATCGGTCCCTCCAGGTGATCTCCATATTGATGCTTTGCTATCCTTACCCCCCCCCCCCACGACATATTTTTGGCTTTTACACAGCACATTTCCTTCGCTTTTTGCAGTGACTGTTTTTCTGTCTCTTCCCATCGTTTCCCATTTAATAAAATTGATTGAAATGCCTTATGCAGCCTTCTTAAAATACAGCACTGCTTTCTTTCCACAAACTACGGTGTGGCGAGTGCGCACAGACCCCTTGTCTGTTCAAGCACGTTTCCTTGGGATTTTTCCAACAACAGAGTGAGCCTCATCTGCTACGTTTTAGGTCTGCTTACTTTGGGGCCTCTTGTATCCTCTGAGATCCCACAAGGACCCCAGACTTTATTTGCCTTTGTATTCCCGGATGGTACTTTCTCATACAGGAGCCTTTTCAATAGATTTGTCAAATAACTTATGAATTACTTTTCATCTTTTACGTTCTCATGAACTCTCTTTTGATAATGTATCCTGGTAGTTTTGCAATTATTATCCTGCTTATAGCATGCAAGTTAATTCATCTCTCCATACCCATCTGTGGGTCTTCTTTGGGTTTTTCCTTCTCATCTGAACTGTAATTTTGCTGTTGAATACTCAACTTGTAGACCATTATTTATGGGGTCCTATATAAATATAAGCCACCTCTAACTAAACAGCTCTTTATCATATATTTTCATAGCATGACCTCTCTCTCTCTCTCTCTCTCTCTCTCATTGTTTTGTTTTTTGTGATGCAGGTTCTTCTCATGGAAACCCACTGTGAAGCCCAGGCCTTCCGAAACCTTGCAGTCCTCCTGCTACTCCCCCACTACGCGTTAGCTTGCAGGAATGTAACCATGCCTAATGGGACTGTTTTCTCAAAGCACTATGATGCTTTCTCACACTAACCCTACGACACAGATATGTAGCATATTACTCCCCCTCCCCTACACACACATTTAGAAGCTAAAGTGAAATGTCTCCCATAAGCAGGAAGCCAAGGAAACAGAAGCAGAAGGGAAACCTTGGTTGTTCACGTCCTCTGCATGGAAGAAGTGCCTGGCCCTCTCTGGGAAGCACACCTCACTCTGGCATGGGGCTAATGATCTGCTCCACCCAATTTCAAAGCTCTTTACTCCTCAACACTTTATTAAAAAACTGAACTCTAGACATGCCCAGTTATCTTGCATTAGAACTAAGGGGCAAACGGGCCTTTGGACTGCTTTAAATGATCCCACGTTGCTTATGTCCTTTACGAGTGGAGTACAATTGCTTTCTATCAAGTAGTCACTCTTAAGACTTTGCCTCCAAAGGAAGTCCTGTGCAAGGGTCCAGAATTGTCCCAGGAATTTGTTGACACTAGTTGCAGTGGGTAAATCTCAAATGATCAAACAGTGATTTCTCTAGACAGTGTGAGAAGGTGATCCGTGGACCAGTTTATCGCCTTCTACAGAGTCCTTGTCAAGTCAAGGCTGCATACTCAACAGTGGACCTCTTAGAAACGCATGCTAGATGAGACGCGAGCCAACAACTTGGCAGAGCCACCTGCTGAAATAAAAGCAGCACAAATGAATGGAAAACAGCAGTGGCGACGAAATACCCTGGAGACCCGGGGTGGGCAATGTTTGGGAGAAGAACACTCTTCATACACCAGGAAGACAGCAGTAAAAGGGTGGAAATGGCAGAGCGTTAAGGCATCACGAGCCATCTCTCTTATTTAAAATCACTTCCTAGGGATCTTTATGTGGTCACAGGAACACACTTCTTGATGAAAATGAGTAGAGACTGTGCACCTTCCTGAGGAGGAACACAACAGTGGTAAAAACACCAAAGCAGACACCAGCTATGTCTGTGGGAACACTAGACGCTCTAACTTCTTATTTTAATTGTGTGTGCTCTGTTGCAATCTTAGTGACCCCACTCAACAGGTGTGTGTGTGTGTGTGTGTGTGTGTGTGTGTGTGTGTGTGTGCGTGCGCGCGCGCGCATAGTCACTCTCTTACCACCCAGCCACTTGTCGGAGATGTTCTGGAGCATCGTGACGGGGATGCAGAAGAAGGCGATGAGGAGGTCGCTGAGCGCCAGGGAGCAGATGAAGATGTTGGTGACGGTGCGCATGGCCTTGCTGCGGGTCACCACGTAGACCACCAGAGAGTTGCCAAAGAGCGCCAGGGCAAAAATGAGTGCTCCTGCCAGCGCGAAGGCCAGTTTAGCGCGCGCGGGCAGCTCGGGGGTGTAGACCAGCGGCCGCAGGCCATAGCGCTGAATGAACTGCTCCCGAGTCAGGTTGTAGGCACTCAGCAGCCGGGAGAACTGCTCCGCCGTGATGTTCAGCGCCTGCATGCTGAGCGCGGAGTCCTGCCAGCCCTCTCTCCGACTGTTCCAAGTCGAAATCTCAGCTGGCAACGCGGCGCTCGGGAGGGACAGGAGGCGGCGCCAGGGGGCCTCGCTCGCGGGTGTTTAAAGTTCACTAAAGTTCTGCGATCAGCGGGGCCGTCTGAGCCCGGTGCCCGGACTCTACAATCTTTAGCTGTGAGGTTGCTTCCCCAATTCCGGAGAGCCGCTTGGAGTTGGTGAGGATGGGGCGGAGCCTGCCATCCGCCTGCTGTCCGCTCCTCTCAGAACCTTGGTCGCCTTAAGTTGAAGCTGAGAATTGAGTTTTCCGTCTACTCCTGAGAAATGATGTGAGCCACAGCTACCCAACGCAATTAAAAACAAAATCACACAAGAGGAAGCCGCAACCACAGTGCAGTGCTCCCTTGTATCCTTCACTTAACTCCACTGGGTCTTAAATATGCAGCATCTCTCTCTCTCTCTCTCTCTCTCTCTCTCTCTCTCTCTGTGTGTGTGTGTGTGTGTGTGTGTGTGTGTGTGTGGTGCTTGCACGTGAGTGTGCACGTATGAGGAGCAAAAAGTAAACCTGTTTCTCTGTCACTTCTCAACTTACTGACTTGAGATAGGCGTTCTCACTGTCCCTTAAGGTTTGGGGGTTGGCTGGGCTGGCCAGCCGTGGAGCAGAGCCCGGGGAAGTTGTATGTCTTCAGGCACAGCGTGGGGGCGTGGTGTTGGACACAGGCACCCCCAGCTTCTTATGGCGATGCCGTGGTTAGACTCGATCCTCACGGTTGCAGAGCAAGCTCTCTCACCCACGCAGCCCCCTCCCCCGCACCCCGTCACTACCCTAGGTAAAACGCTAGCTGTGCTAATAGCTGTGTGCTGATCTCAGGGGGTCATCTGTGCTTTCCAAAGGCCCAGGAGCACTGAATTCTCTTGTGCTCACTCACCGCGGCCCAGTATCTCCTCCACACGGCTTGTCCATTTTCTAATTGACCTATTCACTTTATACGTGTTTAGGGGCTCATTTAAACCCCGTGTTCCAGTCCTCTTTCAAGAAGGGTAGTTTGCAAATATTGTTATAGAGTTTGTGGCTCAATTCGCTTCTTACCAGCGTCTTTCCCAGAATATTTCACATTTTGATTTGCCTTGATTTTGCTTTAGCTTTTGTAGCCTGTAAGTGGTTATTTATTTTTGTTCTTTGCTTTCTCAGGATTAACTTTTAAATTTAGCATACCAAGAGGTGGGTTTCCTTAGGGCGTTTTCATAAACATATGATTTTACACTTTTTCTTATTCGCTTCCTTCCATTATTGCCTTCCCACACTCCCCTTACTCCCACTTCCCACAAATAGACCCCCTTTGCTTTCATGTCACCTGTATTCCAGTGCCTTCTTTTCGCTCCCCAATTTTGAAGACCTCTGTTGCTTCTCTGCTCTCTACTTTCAAGACCTCAGTACACACACACACACTCACACACACATACACACTCACACATGCACATACACATAAGCGCATATATGCTCCCAGGCACAGATCCCGTGTATGGAGTAAAACAGGCAATGCTTCTGAGTCTGTTTTATTTTGTTTAGCAAGGTCTCTACTTCTCTTCACTTTCCTGAATTTTCCATTTTCTTTATGGCTGGAAAAACTCAATATGTGTAGTTGTTCCAACCAAGGATACATAATTCTTTATTCATTCACCTATTGACAATCATATAGATTGGTTCCATTTTCTGGAGCTCCTTCCCCCTTAATTTCTTTCTCCTTGAGTTCATTGTTAGCACATGGAAAAGATACTGATTTTGTAGGTCAGTTTTGTGTCCTGCTGCTTTGCTGAAAGGGTATGTCCGTCTAAGGGTTTTTCAGTGGGTCTGTTAGGCTCTTTTAAGGATTGTGTCATCTGTAAAAAGGGATACTTTTACTTCTACCTTTCTCATTTACATCCTTTTTATTTCTTTCTCTTGTTTTATTGTTCTAGCTAAGACTTTGAGCATACTTACCACTCTTCTACCTAAAATGACAATCTTCAACTTTCTCCAAACTCTTTTTCCTGAGGGTATCTCTCAGGTGTGTTGGGGTGTAGAAGCAACCACGGTGCTGGGATCTGTAAGTTAGAGGACCTATCTTTTACAATGCAACCAGTCTTGATGAGACCTGATAGGCGAGGGTTAAATAGAAGGGGAGGAGGACCTCCCATATCAGTGGACTAAGGGAGGGGCATAGAAGGAGGAGGGTGAGATAGGGAGGGGGACACAGCTGGGATGCAAATTGAATAAATTGTAATAAATGATAATAATAAAAATTAGATAGATAGATAGATAGATAGATAGATAGATAGATAGATAGATAGATAGATCCTGAGGATTCATCAAGCTACGCCTAATACTGGGATATTCAGCTATATTTGGATATTGATCTGCTTTCAGTTCAGTTGGCATTTGCTCCACATATCCTGTAGATTTTCCCCTGGTGAATACATACATTGAAGTCGTATGTAGTCATCATTTTGTGCTGCCTCTCTCTGTGCCGATGATATACTTGTTTTAATGGTCACTCTCCAAATAATAATATAAGCGCCCTGACTTGTTTTGATTAGTCTTTTCCCCGGCATGTCTTTTCCATTCTTTTACTCTTTTACAGTTTTGAGTGAGTTTCTTATATACAGCATACTCTGGGGTCATGATTGATTCTTCATTCTATTCCAGTCCATGAATCTCTGTCTTCTGATAATATAGTTACATTTAATGATTACTGATAAGTTAAGATTTCAGTATATTCCTTGTTTTCAATTAGTGCTATTATTAATCTGATTCCTTTTCCCCACCTCACTTTCAGTTATATAAGCATTATAACAATCCGTTTAGGTTTATCTTTAATAGCTTATTTGTTTTATGTGTTTGTTTACATACCCTTTGGGGTGAGTTCTCTAGGTATTACATTATCTGTACATAACTTACCACAGTCTACTTGGGCTAATACTTTCCAGGATGAGTCAAGTGACAATATCTTTCCTCTTCTTAAGTCCCTCTAATCTTGCCTAAATTTACTAGCCTAAATATTGCCTGTACATTTAGAATAATAATGGTCATTGTTTTAACATTATCTTCAACTGTTAAAATTAATTGAGGAAAAAAAATCACGAATATGAGAAAGAAAACCTAGTGTGTTTATTCACGAATTACTCTTTCTACTCTTCTTTCTTTTTCCCTGATGTGCCTTCTCTTCTTGGTAATTCCTTTTCTGACAATTCTCTCTGATTTTATAGGGCATCCTTTTTGAGATGCAAAATCTTTTTTTTTTCTTTTTTTAAAATAAAATGTTTTGATATCTCCTTTATTACTGAAGAACATTTTCACCGGATATAAAATTATGGGTTGAGAGACTTGTTTTGTTATTTTCTTGTTGTTGTCTATTATCTTGAAAAATACTTCACGACTGTATTTCCTCTTCCATGGTCTCTTAAGTGAAATCCATTACCATTCAAATAGGTTTTTTTCCCCCCTAGAAATAAGACATCATTTCTTTCTTGCTGTTATGTCAAGATTTCTTTATTACCTTTGATTTTGCAGAAGATTTGCTATTCTCTATCTTCAGGTTAAACTTTTTGTCCTATCATTGGATATTTCCTGTGTATGTTGAATTCTCAGGCTTGTCTTTACCACACATGGGAAAATTTCTAATCTTTATTTCTTCAAACACAGTTTTAATCCTGCCTCCTTACTCCTCTCCTCTGGCATCTGAGTTGCTGGAAGACTACATATACCCCTTCTTCTTGTCTTCTTGATGGAGAGAATTTATCTAAGAAATGCAAACAGATTGAACAGAGAAGTTTACTTAGCAAAACAGCAGCACACTCCTGAGGGCTTGGAGTAAACTGACTCAGAGCTGGATAGAAGCAAGATGGCTTGATTTTGTGTTTTAGAATTTTATGACTATGAGGTGGGTGGTTATTCATGGTGATCTTTAGTCTCTCCCAGGTCATAGTGAAACAGATTTCCCTCTTAGAGTACTTTTTGTCATGATGATCTTGAATAGCCCATGGAAGGTGTGGTCAAAAGCATAGTAAAAATGATATTATAATTAAGTTGAGGCCTTCTGAGGATTAAGACTTTTAGTGTTTTGAATGAGGATTGCCCCCCAATAGGCTCATAAAGTTAAATGCTTAGTCAGCAGGGAGACGAACTCTTTGAAAGGATTAGAAGGATTAGGAGGTATGGCCTTGTTGAAGGAGCAGTGTCACTGGGGATGAATCTTAAGGCCCAGTCTCTCTATCTCTGTCTCTTTCTCTCTCTGTGTCTATCTCTGTCTGTCTCTCTGTTTTTCTCTGCCTGAGGCTCAAGATATAAAACTCTCAGCTACTTTTCCAGCACCATGCCTGCTTCATGCTGCCATGCTTTTCAGCATGATCATGACTAACATCTGAAACTGTAAGCAAGCCGCCAATAAAATGCTTTCTTTCATACGAGTTGCCATGTCACAGCATTAGAACAGTGACCAAGACAAGACTTTTCATCAGTACACACATATGGCGATCAGGAAGCTGCCTTGGTGTCTGAGGTTTCTGATATACTCTAAAGAACCTAACTTCAGTTTCAAAGATGCTTAGCCACTAAGGGGCAGTCTAATCTTCAAGAGAAAGAGCTGCCAACATACAATGCAGGTTCTCTCAGGTCTAATTTTCTTCCTGCTCGGACTCAGCATGACAAAAAGGCCAGCTCTTTTGTTATAGTTACACAGGTACCTGAGGTTCTCTGTCCATTTTTGAAATAATTGGCCTGTTTTCCCTGTTTTGTTTAGACTGAGTAATTCTGTAATTAAATTCTACAATTAAATATAATTCACTGACTTTTTTTTTTTTTTCCTATTTTCTACTTTCTGGTGTTTCTACTTTCCTGACTCCTGAGTTGTACATTTTGGTTATTATATTTCTCAGTTCTGAAGTTTTTGTTTGACCTCTGTTGTACTGTATTTTACTATGTAGCTTAGCTTAGAGAGGAATTCACTGTG